TTGAGGACTGGCTTTCATTGTTCTGACCTGAGTCTGCTGCCCTGACCAGGGATGCAGTGGACACATCCTGCCCCAGGCTAGTGCCTGGGCTAGGAAGTGGAGTGGACTCTAACTGGACCATGTGGTCTGGGATTGAGAGCAGTGTGGTTTCCCCAAGTCAAGGGTATACAGAACTCTTATATTTGCTAACTATGCTTCTCTATTGAAAACATCAGTAATTTCTAAGCTAAATATTTAAGAATATTTATGCTGAGTTTTGATGCGTGTCCCTTAGGAAGGATTTATGGATCTATGAATGTCCTGATACACCTTCCTTCCTGACTAAACAAGTTATTACAGCAATGAAGAACTCACACCATCATTTGCAACAGAGGAGCTGAGTTTCAGCCCATTTTCCAGGCCACAGACTAGCTTCAGTGCGTTTCAAATGTATTCTAAAGGATTTGCAACAAACTCACTCTGGATTCCATAATTGCAAAGCCTAGACTTTCCTGCCATTTAACTCCTTCATGTAACTTTGTATCTCAAAAACTGTTCCTAATATTAAGTGAAATGGGTGTAGTTCTTCTCTTCTGACCGCCCCCTCTCTCTCTACTGATGATAAGCAATGCCTCCTCTGCATGTATCATTATTTAACTTTTAGGCAGACAGCTATCTCTCCCCTCAGCCTCCTTTGACTGGATTGAATATCCCCATGCTCTTCACCTTCTCTCATAGGTCTTGTTTTCCAAATCTTTTATCATTTTTGTCGGTCTCTTCTGAGCGACTTACAGCCTATCTTCTTTAAAAATACAGTGTCTGATTTCCTCACCTGAATCAGAACTATTTCCTCACAGAGCAGAATTAATTCTTTTGTTAAAGGAATTTGGGGAGGGTGGCGTTGCTATTGTATAAAGACTCTTCTCCCGCCCACAGATGGGTTACATTATTGCTTAACCGGTATTCCCCAGTTTTACAACTATTTGGAAATTTACCAACGTTGTCATCGAACCCCTGCACAGATGTACAAAATATAATGAAGCAATTATTTAAAAGAACATAAAACTAATTGTTTAAAAAACAGGTCTCCAAGTTTCTCCAGTTGTTAACTCTGACCTGCTTTCAGCAGGAAGTTTACATGTAAAGAGAGGAGTGTAATCTGCCAGTGTGGACATCCCTTGATATAGAATTTAAGTAAAAAAGAATTCAATGTAAGGCATTTGTTGTGCTATTCGGTTTTGTTCATTAAAAAAATTCTTTCATTATACATAACCAAACGTTTCAGAAAATGCAAACATGCACGCTTTTCAAAACTATAGTAGACACTGAAGTATTATAAAATTGCACAAGAAAGAAAAATCCCAACTAACACCAAATCGTGATGCAGAGGAATCTACCTGTCATTTTAGAATCAATGTGCTGATTATATCTTCATTGTTACAGATATGCCACAATGTTACATAGTTTCCTTGTGAAAAGACGTTACTTAAGGCATAGCATGATCCGGAATGCATAAATAATACCATTATGTCTTCTGATGGCCTAATGCATTGTCTGATTACACACACACATTCTGTAACCGACGGTAACACCATCCAACCAGGCTTCTTTAATGAAACTTCAAACCTTCGTGCAATATTGATCTGCCACAGAAAGTAGTCCCTTTGTAGATGATATAAGCAAACTCAGCTGCTTCTTTTTTAAACTTCCAGTTTCCTATTCCATAATCAATCTAGTTGCTACGATTATCTCTGTGACAGATGTTAAATGGAGAGATGGTTAATTTTCCCAAGGTGTTATTATATACTTATTTTATGTTCATTTGTTTTCACTCATTTAAATGCTTCATTGAAATGAAATTTCCTCGATGGCTGTCTTGGGTTGTGAGAACTCCACATCTTGTTCCTAAATAAGCCTTCCCTGACCTAAAAAAAAGCGTTTTACTGTCCTATAAAAATAAATGCTTTTTGCTTTGTGTCTGCTCTTCAAGCTAGTGATTAGATCCACATTTTCCAAGGAGTTATGCTCATACAGGGTCCCTGAGATACTCTGTGACCAAAGGGTCCTCTGATCGAATGTGGTTGGGAAGCTGTGTATTGTGTCCCCTCTTGCATGGAGAATGCACACACACACACGGATAGTAAGGGCTTTGAACAGCCCCAGAGTAAAGAAATCTGTTTAAGGCCACATCCCCCAACCTTCTCAGACCTGACACGGTTATACTCCTACATAGCTTCTATTAACAGTCCTGGGAAACCAGGTGGAACACTGTGGAATATTGGCTTGCAACAAGATTTCATTCAACGATACTTTCTCTGTCCATTTTCAGGACATTCACCTGAGCTTGGGAGTTGGTAGGAGGTAATGCCCATGCTGATTTATGGAAGGGAAAATGAACCAATACATGATTATTAAGAACCTATTATATTCTAGACACTCTTACATCCTTTACATACACACATTCATTAATTCACTCAACAGGTGTTTATGAAGAGCCTACTCTTCTGGGAGCTGGGCATCAGTGCAAAATAAGGCAAATCCCCCATTCTGATAATGCTCAGGTTATCACGGGTATCATGGGGAATCCTCAAGGCTAAAAATTTGTGTCTTCATTCTACTGATGAGAAAGATGGAAGCTCAAGGACTTCACAGAAAAGGCCTGAGGTCCCAGAGATGGCAAGTCAGCAAGGAAAGGCGCCTGGAAGCTCATGGCAACGCACTCCCGAGGCTCACGTCCAGCTCATATCCGTGTGCTGGACTTTGCTACCACGGATCTCCAGTGTCTGCCTCCAGAGGCTGACCGGGGATGAGATCAGGTGGATGCAAACTGAGAGACAGCTCATCAGAGGTATTACACACCTTCTCGACCAGCTGCCTGTAATAACCAGAGGAGGCAGACCTGGAGCCATATTTATGTAAGTAAATAACACACCTTTCCTTTCCAACGTAGTTTTGCATCAGCATTCTTAGTAAATACATTCATTCTCGGTTTGCAACCTAATTTTATGGGGAAACTTAATCTATATATTTACAAATCAGTCTCCCACTGTGAGCTTCAAACCCATCTTTAAGTTCAGAGAACCTCTCATTCTGCCTGTAACAGCCAAGAATACGCTGTATCCAGAAGTTCTTCTGAGTCCCCGGCTGTCATGGGGATAGAGAATGAGCAGAAGACTCTAGGTTTGCTTCCCTGATTTTCCGCCGATGCTGACTTAGCACAAACATTCAGGCCGAGCCTTCCTTCCCCACCTCCCCGCCCCCTGGCAACCTCAAGGCTGACCTCTATGTCTGTGAGTGTTTCTCTTCTGTAGACAGGTTTGTTTGCACCGTATTTTAGATTCCACATATAAATGATATCTCATGATATTTGTCTTTCTCCTTCTAACTTATTTCCCTTGGGATGACAATCTCTAGGTTCATGGCCAGTGAGCATTTTGAGGACAGTCACCAAGTATTACCAGCTTCCCTGGTGGCTCAGGTGGTGAAGAATCCATCTGCAATGAGCGAGGCCTGGGTTCGATCCCTGGGTTGGGAAGACCCCCTGGAGAAGGAAACAGCAACCCACTCCAGTATTCTGGCCTGGAGAACTCCATGGACTATCCATGGGGTCGCAAAGAGCCGGGCACGACTGAGCACACACACATCAAGCTTCATCTGCCTTTGCATTCCCGACAAGCAAGTGAATAGCTGCTTGAATGAATGTGTAAGTAAAGTGGGAATAAAGATAAAAATGATTGATAATCATTGTGAGTGCCACCTATTTGCTAAGAATACTGATATTTTAAGACACATAAATTAAAGCAGTAAAATGTTCACACCATTTTCTTCATTTAACTATTCAGCAATGCTTCTGAAGACCTTTGTACATAAAGCACAATAAAGAGCAGTGTGGGAATTTCTCTAGTAAAAAAATGGATTTAAAATGGTCGCTATGAAGTTTAAGACTAATATTTTTAGATAGTTATAAGTTTGGGTGTCTTGGATGAAGAGGCAAAGATACAGATTTGACATTTACGTATTTGTTTCTTGCTGTTACACAGTCTCAGGGTTGTTTTGATATGGCACTAGAAATGAGAAAAGCCCACGATGGTGGGCAGAATATTTCTTCGTGCTTCTCCACATTTGGAATTGCTTGACCCAGTTCTTCGCATGTTTTCTTCAGCTCACGGGCTTCCTTTGCCTTTAAAGAATAGAGTTTATGGCTGTTCATCAAGTATGTAGAAATTAATTCAGGGATGATAGGAAAAGGGTTTTCAGGTTTGAGCTTCCCATTATTTGTCATCCAAGGCAGATGTTTATCTGCACCTTAAACACGGGAATGTCCACAAAGAAACCCCTTTTCTTTTATAACACAACAACAATGAGACTGTAGCCAAACTTCCCAAGTTTCTCCACAGGTAAATGAAACAATCATAAGCCTCCTGGTCTTTAAGATGTTATCTGGGTTCTTATAATCCATTCAATACACAAACAGGGGAGCTTCCACAACTTTCCCTGTGATGCTGTCCACACTTGCCTTCCTGACAATGGAAAAAGAACAAAGTATCCTGTTTTGCTTTTTAAACATAAGAACTTCTTGTTTAAATGACAGCCTATCCACTGCATAAAATAGAGACCCTCACACCAAGCTATTTAAAAACGGGGACAGGGACCTTCCACTCTAAACAAAAGGTATGTCCTCTCCAGTGTTGTGTGTATTTTAGTGGCTAAGTCATGTCAACTCTTTTGCAACAACCCCATGGACTGTAGCCCACCAGGCGTCTCCGTCCACGGGATTTTTCAGGCAAGAATACTGGAGCGGGCTGCCATTTCCTTCTCCAGTTCTCTCTGATAGCACAGAGTACAATGTAATAGCAAACGGGCTTTAGGCTCATAAATAATAATAGCAAGCATACACTGGCATCTCCGATAAGCCAAGATCTGTAAGTGTGGTACAGAAGTCACATTTAGTCTTCACAGCCGCCTTCTGAAGTAGGTCCTGTTTTCATCCGTTCTGCTGTCGAGGGGACTGAGTAGCAGCAATGTGCTCGGGGCCCAGAGCGCACAGAGGCCAGGGCGCGTTCAGAGCCCGGCATTCTGTCCTCTCGCCCCGAGCCAGCTCCGCTCCCCACGTGGGCCGACGGCCTCCCCGAGAGTCTTCGCTCGGGCCAGGCGGGGACACGGAGGAATTAAGTGAGCGCTGAACGCAAAGCGCTCAGGGGGTTCCCGGCCTCGCCTAGGAACCCCCTAAAGGTAGAGTGACTATCTGTCGGGACTGCAGATACCACGGAGGAAAACCAGCGGTGGGAAAGAAGTCAGCGCGGGCTAGATCGTGATTACGGGGAGATCGCACCTCCCCTAGACTGGAAGGGGTGGGAGCGGGGAGCAGTTTCTAAAACCATCTGTTCCGCCGGCTGGTTAAGTCCTCAGCAGAGGAATCATCACTGCAAACGCGAGGCCTGAGCGCGAAGGGCCCGCGCGATGAGCGCTAGACCTCCGTGTCCTCCTGCCTCCAGGGACCGCGCAGCGACTGCCCTGGGCGCCAGAGGAGTCAGACCTCAAGGCTGAATGCTCTGCACAGCCTTGAGGTCTGTGTTCTTGGATTCTGCTGTTGCCGCCATTAAAAATTAAAAAAAAAAAGAAGACGTGTGTTTATGTGTGGTCTGCATGCTTCTGTGAAAAAACGTGTTGAAGGCAGAATTTTTAATCAGGCGCTGTGGACAGTTTCTGGGCTGAGGGTGCATCCTTCTGACCATCCCGAGGCAATTCATTCATTTTACTGGGCCATGGGTAAAAGTTCGAACGCTCATCATCTTGGAAGATAACTAAGAGGTGATGGGAAGCTTTTGTCTAAGGCTGTGATAACAGAATACCACAAACGGTGGCTTCAGCGTTTATTTCTCACAGTTCTGGAGGATGAGAAGTTGATCAAGGTGCTAAGCAGAGCCAGTGTGTGGTGCGGGTCCTCTTGTGCTCCCACATGACAGAGAGGAGATGCAAGTGCTCTGGCCCTTCTTCTAAGGGCACTCATCCCATTCATGGGGTGCCACTTTCAGGACCCAATCACCTCCCAAGACCCCTGCATCTTAAAACTCTCATATTGGGTATAGGATTTCAACACGTGATTTGGCGGGAGACAATGGCACCCCACTCCGGTACTCTTGCCTGGAGAATCCCATGGATGGAGGAGCCTGGTGGGCTGCAGTCCATGGGGTCGCTAAGAGTCGGACACGACTGAGCGACTTCACTTTCACTTCTCACTTTCATGCGCTGGAGAAGGAAATGGCAACCCACTCTAGTGTTCTTGCCTGGAGAATCCCAGGAACGGGGGAGCCTGGTGGGCTGCCGTCTATGGGGTCGCACAGAGTCGGACACGACTGAAGCGACTTAGCAGCAGCAGCAGCACACATATTGTCTGTAGCATTCTTTTTTTTCCCTTAATACATATATTTTATTGAAGTGTAGTTGACTTACAGTGTTTTCAGGTGCAGAGAAAGGTGATTCAGTTATACTTTGACACATATTATTTTTCAGTCTGTAGCATTCTTGAAGAATTTTAGGCAGGTGAGTTGTATTACCTTGGTACTTGTAAGGAGGATTGAATAGAGAGAGGAAAGGAAAACGTGTCAGCCAGAAGATAACCATGGTAGACATCCGATACTGACATCTGAGTACCTTACAATGCTTCGTTACTATACTCTCTACTTTCTAAACATATGTGTTAAAAATATTTCATCTGCTTCATGTTTCATAAAATGCACTCCTATCTTTTCCCACTTGTAAAGCTACTAAGTTTCATATGTGGATAACTTCACTTTTATGGTAAGATCTCTTGCTATTTAGATTTCAAAATCTGTATGGCTTTCATTTCCCTTAAGTTTTCTGATTTGTCCTAAACTGCCTTTTAAAAGCAGATACCTGTCTGCCAGCATCTCTGACTGCTGCTCTAACCTAGTGCTTAAATTGTTCTTCAGGCTTTTTCTTAAAGGGGCTAATGCTCCTGCATCATCCAATAGGGTAATCATTAGCTACCTATGGTTATTTCCAGCAAGTGAAACTGAAGTTGCTCAGTCATGTCCAACTCTTTGTGACCCCATGGACTGAAGCCTGCCAGGCTCCTCCTCCATCCATGAGATTCTCCAGGCAAGAATACTGGAGTGAGTTACCATTTCCTTCTCCAGGGGATCTTCCCGACCCAGGGATTGAACCCGGGTCTCCTGCATTGCAAGCAGACTCTACCATCTGAGCCACCAGGGGAAATTAAATACATCGATAATTCAGTTATTCAGTTGCACTAGCATCTCAAGTTGATCATTTCAAGTGTTTAACAGCCACATGTGGCTAGGGACTTATGTACTAGATAGCTCAGATCCAGAAGTTGATTCATTCCAGAAAGTTCTACATCATTCTAGAAAGTTCTACCTCTAATGGAAGTTTTGAGCTAAACCATTATCTTTCTTGATCCATTTGAAATGATGCAACTGTCCATTCAGGATGCTAACGAAAATCTCCTTTTAATTCTCTTCATTGAGAACACACTCTGCATACATTTCTGCATAAACTGCCTATAGTGTTTACCATGTAATTTTGATGTTGTCATGAAAATAATGAAGGTTGAAACATTTAGGAAACAATTTTGGTCCAGTTACCAGAGGTTAACGGTACTGAAAAGATCATCAAGATGTAATGTTTCTCTCTGATAAGATGTCAAAGTGTCATCACTACTTTTGCAAGGGAAAAAGCAGTTCTCAATACTAAACAATTCATCCTGGTTGATTTGTCTCCAGGGAGTAATAAATCCTCCCAGTTTGCTAACTCAGCCAACTGATGTGCTTGATTGACTCAAGAGAATTTATAGTCTCTAAACATTTATTGCTGAGTGGATCAGTATATTCATAATTTCAAGATTCCAAACAAACTCTTATCCAGCCATGTCACAATGAATAAAGTGGCACCATTTGTTTAAGTGGTAACTAGTTTCATGAGCATTTCCCTTCCAAATCCATTTCTATCATGACTATCAGTAGTCTAAAAAGTATATAACTTAAAAAAAAAAGACCAAAAGCATATCTACATCACCAACTTTGGGTACATTTTAAAAGTGAAGCAATCTCCTTTACGAAAAGACTAAACACCAGTAATTCATCTACTTAGAATAGCCAAAAGAGAAATAGGTCATCATTGCAGCAAAAACAACAAGCCTAGCACTCTCTGGAAGGATCAATAGTGTCATGATAAATGAAGTCTTCTCTTGTGTTGCTGCAGCAAACCTCCTGTGACTGGGAAGTCCCAACTGACTCCCTGCCATCCCTCCTCCAGTCTACTTAGCTCCTAGGGTTCTCTCGGAGACTCTTCTAAAACAAAAGTCTAGGTCACACAGTTCGCAAAACTCCTCATAGATGTAGCTACAGTCAGAGGCAAACTAGACCCTCTGAAAGGACACCCCAATGCGGCAACTGATGGCTGGACCTTCGTCATATTTTCAGCTGTGTTGGCTATATCGTGCAGCCACCCTACTTAGCGAGTGTGACGGACACTCCGTGCCAGGAGAACTTGATGTCATTCCTGCTGACAAGGACACGAACACACTCGCTTCTACTGTGTCATTCGGTGGCACGTTGCACAAAGAGGCAAGTGGCCAGAATGTTCAAAGTTAACTGCAAACAGGGAAAAGAAAGTTAATGGAAACACTGCAGTATATTCTCTTAGCATGCAGTTGCGAGCTTGAAAGTCCCGTTAAGTATCTCTTTTTTAAGATAAATACCTATTAAGTAATGTATATGCACAAGCTGAAGTGTTAAATGGTTTGTTGAAACCTATTAGAGTACACAAGATGATAAACATAAATTATAGCTAATATACTGCACCAGTGATTTTTAAACATAAAAATTACTGACACTGTAAAAACACACTTGAGTCGTCGTAGCAGCATAATAGCACTAATCCATGTTTATCCAACCATGCACTTTTCAAAAACAACACAAACCTCTAATAAATGCTTTGGCTTCACCTTGACAACTTATATGGGTTATTGCCTCGTTCATGCCTGGATAACCATGTGTTATGACTTAAATGTTCTTTAATATCAATTTATGCCTTGAAGAAAAAAGATTGAATAACATAGTGTACATATGGTTCAATTTATTACAGCAAAACAATCATTTTAGTTTGAAGATATTTTCTCATGGTGCATATCATAGAAATCTTCTTCAATAGAGCTCTCGATAAACCAGATTTTTTATGTCACAATAAATGAAACTAAGGCGGCTAATTGTTGCTAAGATTCTAAATAGATGGGTCTATTCGGCTTCCTTGTCAATCAAAAACACATTCCTTAACACTTGTATTTCTGGATTCTAATGGCTCTAATTGGATTTTACACTATCTGATTAACGAGGTAGTTTATAGGCTACTATAAAAAAAGTGATACTCAAAAAGTGGAGGAAATTGGAGACCATCAGCATTGCTGAGAGTTAAGAAGATACCAAGAAATTGAGAGTGGGTACAAAAATCAAAGGGGAGGAAAGTGAGGATGAGGAAGTGAATTCTAGAAAGAAAATAAATTAGAACTGACTGTGAAACCATCAGAAATGCTTCTGAAAGAGTGGGCATGCTATTGTCCAAATGAGACAGTATTTCCACCCCAACAACACCTTTCCCCATGCCCAACACACCAACATCCCAGGTCTTGTAAGTAGATACTTTTGTTCGACTCTGGTGAAGCATTGTGGTAGGGGCACACGCTTAGTGCTGACTGTAAAGCCCAGGGGTCTAGGTGAACTTGGCCGGTGAGCAGATGACACACACTCTGTAGATACCTACGCTAGTCAAACCAACAGCTCCTCGTAGGAAGGGAAATAGAATCAACACAGTCAACATGGCTCATAATAAAATAGCAAACACTATAGCAATTTAAAAACAAATCCTTTAATCACTTATTTTTTATTTCTCACTTTCCCTCTGGCAGTCAGCAACGTTCTTTGAGAACTTACTGTGTGATGTTCGGTCAGTTCAGTTCAGTCACTCAGTCGTGCCCAGCTCTCTGTGATCCCCTGGACCGCAGCACACCAGACTTCCTTGTCCATTGACAACTCCCAGAGCTTGCCCAAACTCATGTCCATTGAGTCGGTGGTGCCATCCAACCATCTCATTCTCTGTCGTCCCCTTCTCCTCCTGCCTTCAATCCTTCCCAG